TTCGTAAATTTGAGGGAAGAAATTTTGGCATTGAATCGGGTAAATTTATTATCCCTGCAACGTTTTGCGGGAAAGTGCCTGTCCTTCTCATTAGCAATTCCAGGCGCGAAATTGTTTGTAGGTACCTGCTTTCGCACTATAGCCACTAGTTTCACTGTAAATTCTAAGGATTATATCCCAATATCAAAAGAATTAAAAGAAGAAACTGAATTTTGGCGTTTTTTGGAAAATTATAATCGTATATTCCGTTGGAAGGCTGAATTTCATAAAACTTTGGGGCTCGCAACTGATGTCTCGGATTTTAAGTGGGCGGGTATTCTGAACAATGGAAGCCATAATTTAGAGATCAGTGACTATTGGACTCAAACTGAGATGAGTTTACCAATTTTGTTGAAAGAATCGAAGGCTCTATTCAACTCTCTATTGGCATTTAGTCAAGAGATACGGGATTCTCGACTTGATGTTCTGATAACAAAGGCTTGGTTGACTCCTGGAATAACCAGTACAGTAGATCATCTGAGTTAAACCAAATACTGAAGCAAATATTTTTTGTTTTGTTAGAGCACAACACAAGTTTGAAACTCATACTGATTCCATCCCAAGATAATCCAGCAGATATTCCTTCTCGCTCTCTGTCAAAATCGGATGTTATGATCTCAGATTTTTCTTTCAAAAGGATAGATTTAATATTTGGATCACATACGGTCGATTTGATGTCTCTGGATTGTAACTGTGTTAAGGACAGGCATGGAAACCCCTTGACACATTTTACACCTTATAATACCCCGTTTTCGGGGGGAACTAATGTGTTCTCTCAAACGCTGTCAATAAATGAAAACTACTATGTTTTCCCGCCGTTTTGTTTAATTTTACCACTCTTAAAGTTTATACAGGCCCAGAATGTGGAGTGCATCATAATAGTCCCAGCCCTTCAACCTGTGCCAATATGGTTCCCAGTCCTTTTAGCAATGGCGAAACATTTTGTAATTTTGGCTTATAAAGGGGACAAACATGCGTTAATGTACCCCAGTAAGAAGGGTTTCTTTCATGATAAAATAGGGATACCTTGGAATTTATGGGTTGTTAGGATTAATACTTCGTGCAATTCAAGCCATGTTGATCTGTGGCGTATTCCAGGGAGACATTTTTCTGTGGTTATTTTAGGAGATTCTATTATAAAACGTATGCAAGGAAGGGTAAATGCCAAAGTTCTTTGTATTCCGGATGGGAAGGTAACAGATATAGAACATAATTTGACCGGGTTGTTAAATTACTCATCGTGTATTTACTTATTTATACATGTAGGTATCAACGACATTTTGGGTAAACGAACGCGACAATCCGAATATAATCTAAAAGCATCTTTAAGGAAGCTTGCAAATAAATTGAACATGGCAGAAGAGGTCATAGTTTTTCTGTCTCAGGTTGTTAAAACTAGCGATATGACACTAAATAGACAAGTGACCATTTTTAATGAGAATTTAGCGTCGTTGGCCATGGAAAATCAGCATTGGGAGTTAATTTCAAATGATAACATTGTCACATCGGATTTAGCAGACGGCTTACACCTCAAGGATAGTGGCTTATCAAAATTAATAACTAAAGTATATAAAGTTAATGCTCACGAAACTGAAAAAATGACTATATATTTGTTTTTATGGTTAAAACATTACAGTGACTTGATTATGCTCGCAATATCAGGTGTTAAGTGAGTTTTGGGTCTCCTGTCTCCGTTTGAAATGAGTTTTGCGTTGTTCGGGTGTGACTGCGACAGGTTAGTATCGTATGGGAGTTAATCAACTATGGGAGTTTAACGAAATATTTCCCCAGACCTAACATCTGTAGGGATAGGATGTTTGATGAGACCAGAATACTGTTCCTAACTAAAACCTATACCGGAAGTGTCACATGGTCTACCAACAATCCTCACTCATCGCTAAACTCCTTACTTGGAGGGAATAATGTGGTTGCTTACGCACTCTGTGTTCTGTTGAATTGGGGGCCCCTTTTTTATTATATTTTCGTGTTCCCACCCACCCACCGCTTGTCTCTACAATCCTATTTCTACAGTTATTTTAACGAAATATTTCCCCAGACCTAACATCTGTAGGGATAGGATGTTTGATGAGACCAGAATACTTTTCATCAGAGACGGGCTGATTAAATGGAGGGTTTACCACTCGTTTGTAAACATGTCTATGTCATTCAACATTAGTTTATCATTTTCAGGTATCTACATGGTACTTTCTTTGTAATTATGAATTTGCAAAATAACCAATTTTCCTTTTCAGTATTCAATATCTTGAAATGATTTGCATTACAAAGATCACCGATAATCCTAAATCCCATGCAACTAAGAGTTATTCTCTTCATAAATTGTCTTCGATTTTATTGAAATATTTCAATAATTTGGGAAAATATATGGATGGTTGGCATTTACATGGCATTAAAAGGGGACCCAGTGGGGATATTGTTGATCTGGACTGTTACTTTCATATACCTATACCCTCTTTATTTACATATTTGTAAAGAAAATATTCAAGTAAAACGTATTTGGGCAATTCGGTGCTAATATTAGACAAGTCATAAATGTCGAGGAAATTATATACATCTTGATAAAGACTTTTAGTAATAAATAAGTTTATTCTCGTAGACATGTGTTACAGGCATTGTATTTAGAAATCAGCTAGTAGAAGCGTAAAATTATTTTTTTAAATCTTACACACGGTATTATTAATAGCTGTTCAGATCTGTATCATATTTGGAGAGATTTTTTTTTGAAAATAACAATCTATTCTACAAATCAACCGATATCTAGAATTTATTTTCGTATGTCCCACAAATCAACTGATGGTTGGAATAATTTCGCAAACTATAATTTTATAATATTTGGTGGTTTCTTTTTAATCTATTCCGCAAATCTGCAATATTTTTCTGATATTGATACATAATATTAGAAATGTTTTTTTTTATAAATATTTACAATCTTATAACCCTGGGTTTAGGTCGATACCTTATTGTTTTCATTAGTTACAAAAAAACGACCCCGGACTTGACATTTTTACAAGTAAAATGGAAAGCATTAATAATATACAAGTGCACCTAATAATATTAAGTAAAAAAGAAAAATAAATAAGAAATACAAGACCAAACCAAAGATTTCGACTTTAATGTTTCATAAAACACTAAAATGAAAAGCGAAGATACACGATAAACAAACAAGTACACCTAATAATATTAAATAAAAAAATGAAAATAAATAAGAAATACAAGACCAAACCAAAGAATTCGACTTGAATGTTTCATAAAACACTGAAATGAAAAGCGAACATACACGATAAACACGGAACCAAACAGATCGGTCTACATAACTACGTGATGGTTCCACTCGAGTCTCATATATAAGAAACCGAGCAAAGATATAATATAAAAGAAAATACATATTAATAGAAACAAATCACTAAGACACAACCTAGCTAAATTAGTTTTTCGTAAGTTAAACTAGTTTTTTCGCAAGCGTAACTACTTTTTTGTTAGTTAAACTAGTTTTTCGTAAGAGATTATACCAAATATATAATATAAAAAAGAATACACGATATGGGAGACAAAACAGCTCTTTATTCAGTGTTCTTAATTCATAATCCTTAAATCTTATTTTTTCATTTGTTGTCGAATTTCGACATTTGTACACTGAAATTAATTAACATTTGTATCTTAAAATCTTTATTTGTTTTACAAATTAGACCTTTGTCATATTAGATTTGTAAAATGTATTTTTTCTTAATTTAATTTTATTTTAATATAAGATCGTTTTTTGTTTTTTTTTACTTTAAATATCCGTTAAAAATGTTTAGTACCGTGGAACTTTGATTCTATTTTCAAGGTATATAAATATAAATGTGCCAGAAAATAACTTGAAAAGTTGTACGCTATTAAACTCTGGATGGGATCTTAAATGTCAAAATACGGGACGACATTCCAGATATCACACTGCAGAATACCACGGAAAAGAAGTTTCATATACCTTTTTAGAAATGTAAATAATATATTCTGGCACATTTAAATTTACATAGCTTGAAAAGGGTATTGCAGCTGGATGACGCTAAATACTATTAAGTTAGTGGGCTCGGGTGGGGTGGGGGTATTTAAAAGTTAAACGGGTTATCCTGTATAGCTTGAGCGGAAAGTATTTACTTATTTATCCCTCTTTCAATATATTACTTATTCCCTGGCACATTCATGATTAAATGATTTAGAAGAGATTAAACACTCGTTTGAGAAAAGAAATATGTCCCTATCAGACAAAACCTGATTTCTGAAAATGGACTACTTTCCATTTATTTTCTTTCTCGAAGGCCCGACCCGATTAGCTATACAAGGCACGTGGTTTCACTAGTGTCGCGGTCATCGAGCGATTTTTCTTATTGTGTATATGCTTGCTCGATTCCCCATTATTGTATGGTGACTTATTGTATGCCAGGTTGATTTCGAGAAATGTTTTTGGAGAAATGTTATTGAAGAAATGTTTTTAGAGAAATGTTTTGTAAGATTTGTATTTGGAGATTTGTATTTAGAAATTTGTTGTTCCAGATTTGTTTTTCGTTGTATTTCTCTGAGGAAATTTAAATGTAGTCTAATTTTTTATTTACTAAAATAAATCTTCATATTAAAATAGAATTAAAATACATTTTACAAATATGATATGACAAATGTCTGATTTGTAAAACAAATATTGATTTTAAGATACAAATTTTAATTTTAGTGTACAAATGTCGAAACTAGGACTATGAATTAAGAAATAAGGACTAAGAATACCGAATAAAGAACTGTTTGGTCTTCCATAACACGGCACATATAAAAATTCACGAACGCATACCATATTTGGTATCATACAACAAAATACATTATACAGAAGACTATAATATAAAAATCAAATATAATATTCTATAAACACTGTTATAACTGTTCGGTGATTATAAGCTTCTGCAGTTATCCTTTTATTTAAAAACAAAACATTATTTCTTTCGTTGGAAAAATATCTTTTCCAATGCAAGGAAGGGAGCCTCAAAGGTCACTGAGAATATAAAAGCTATCATGAAGGTCATACACGTGTGGCCCATGTATAGATAAGCCTGAAATAAAAATAAAACAAAAAAATTCTAGAAAGGATTCGAGATAAATCTACAAATTTATTTATTTTTCAATTTCAAATCGAATTATCATTAAACACAAGTAAAAAGAAATTTGCATGAATTATCTTATATTCTTCTCTCTTTATATGGTCAGTTGTATCTCTATGCACATACCTTTTTTTAATTAAAGATGCAGTATGTGAGATTTAGAGAAAGAACTGGCCGTTCTTGCTTATAATAGTTCAATAACAGATAATGAAAATCGAAAATTTCAGTCAAATTATTTTAATCTGAGCGATGTTATGAATGTTTGAAGTTTTGACAAGACATAGTTATAAATTGTCTCCCACGATTGCCAATTGTTGTCATATATTCTCGATTGTCAAGGGCCACGACAATAAACGAAGTTTCAATTGTCAGTCATTTTATTGACAGTCTGTAAGCGACGGCATGCATTACCAAACGATTTCGTCTTTGCCAGCCATATTAGCGTAGATGTGTCGGGAATTGGTTAATCTATCCAATAACTAATCCATCCGATGGTCTAGAGAGCTGATCATCGGCTTGTCACGTGGATAAATGTCAAATGATAATTTATATAACATTTGAAACCAGAAGAACGCCCGACAATAGGCGAATTTAGATCTTGCATAATGCCCTTTTAATGAATGGGAAATCCCGTACCCTATCCCACGCCCATAATTATACAAGGCCCCATATGCCTATGTCAAGTCGTTTGATTGAAATCTGAAAGTCCAAAGTTTATATAATAGTTATAAAGACGTACCACATCAAAATCACTTATGTAGATTAGGTTTCTTTTACTGTAGATTTTAAGCATCATACACGCAGGATGTACTAGGTAGCATGCATACGTTAGTCTGGACAGTGGTATAATTCCACTCCATGACAGAACTGAGTTGATGAATCCTGGAGAACAAATTATAAATACTATTTTTATTTGAGAAAATAAATCGTTTGAAGGCTGCGCTTTTCCATTACCGGAGAGTAAATTATACAATCCCTCAGATTATCCGCACTATTGGCAGACAATCCTGCGCCGACAAACTATACACGCATTTTTAACGGAGATCTTTGGTTTAGGTCTTTGATGATGACCACCACTGTGTCTAGTTGTATCTATGAATGCGATGAGGAATTTTGGTACACGACATACGCCACCGACGAAACGTCGTTGACCAACAACCTGTGACCATAAATCGTAAAGAAAAATCGACATTCTGTGTACTGAATGTTGCACCCGATAGATTATTGCTGACGCAGGCCAGCAAACTATCTGAAAGCAAAATCGATTTCCATCCTCAAGTTAACGACCAAACTAACGCAATGGACCAATTTCATAAACGTTCGCATTTAAAAGTGTCATTACAGAAAAGAAATGGGTTTCATCATCACTTCAACAAAGAACAAAATACTTTTACAGATTACCATAACTTTTTATTTCTCGGGAAATACTTTTTGCCAAGACAGTGGCCTTTTTACCCTCTCCCGTCTTCATTTTTATTCAACCTTCTCTTCTTAAAATTGTAAATTCTATGGGGTATTGTACGATTTGACCCAGGCCATTCCAGTGCAATATCCAATACAGAATATTTATATTACCTCCTCTGTTATGATGACATGCAAATATAACCCAAGCAACACAGGCAGCAAATATTGGTCTTGTTGTTGACTCATACAACGATAGCACCCATTTTGGCCAGGCGTCGGCGTCTTCTTTACGATATGTGTATGTTATATAAGAAATAAAGATACCAACACCAAGGGTTATAATCCAACCAACTACAGCTTTTTTCTGAAAACAAAATATCAAAATAAGTTCAATGCGCCAAACTTTCTATAGGTCTACATGTTTTACATTCAGTAGTAGCGAATGTAACATAACGTTAGTTAGTGTTTGTCATCACTCATGTTCCTGAAGCTACGACTGCGAGTTTTACAACATCTGGACGTTGCTAGATTACTTTACAATTCCCAAACTTCTCGCTACGTTATCGACAGACACGTGGACAGTAGCATCCAATCAATGGTTGTGACATAGCGACCTCCACGGAAACCTTGACATTAAACGAAATTTGAACTTTGCAACTCGATTATTACAGGTAGACATTTTGACTGGAAAGCGCGAGACTTGGTATTCGCGATGATCGAGGAATCTGATAGGCTCACAAACTGGGTGAATACCCAATCGAAATTAGTGCCGAAATATGCAGGGTATTACGTGAAGGCATTGATAAGATGTATGTAGTTAAAGCGAGATCAAGCTTTCTATTGAAGATGTCCATCGATAGTCATGATGCAATAGTAACATAGACTGAGTGTTGGCTTTTCTTTTCGTATATATAGGGGAATAAGTAAGATTAGATAAAGAGCGGACAATTCTCGCTATAATAGTTAAGAATTGATAATGAAAACAGAATATGCTTAAAATTTCACTCAAATAGACGAATTGCCACTGGTGAAAACACCATAGCCGCCCTGCTGACTTTATTATGTTTTCGTAGGATTTTGACACGGTTATATACATTCTTAGCTCTTTTATATTTCACTTTTATATATTTTTACTTATGACAGAGAATGCGGATTTGACTGTAGATAACAGTGATTGATTAAACTGGGTGTAGGCCTATCGAAAAAAGCGTAGACTGATTCACTGAATTCCGCGCGTTGTGTTTTTCTGTTTTAAAATTACCCGAGGTGAGGCCCAGTAAAGATATCGCCGAACGTAAATATAGTCAAAGTTCGATCTTAAAGAAACCCGATATACACTTAGGCGTACAAGCGCGAGGGGATTTTTCTGGTAAATGGGTAAAGTGAACAAAACATAAACCACCAAAATAGGCCTATAATATGTTTTTGGATACAATACAATAAAGTTTCAAAATGCAGTAATTTTTACGTGATAATAAAACACTACCCCTTTTCTCTTTTAGTTGAAGACGGCGAATTTGTACTGATCTATATGGATTAGAATATTCTGTCAGGGGTTGCTCTCGATCAACAGCTGCTTCGTTCGAAATTTTATGGGCATCGGTTATAAAGGTTATATTTTTCATCATATTTTTTTCTGAATCGCTATTTCTTTTAATTGACCATAATAGTTTAAAAATTAAAACATTTAAACTTCAGTGTAATAAACTGAGTCTAGTGCCAACCTGCTTTATGCGCGACATTTTTTCGTGCATATTATTTGTTCCGGCGCTCGTGGGCGACACGCTTGGCAGGCTGCGGTCCTGTGCAAAACCACTTAAACACCGTTATATCGGACCACTCTCTAGTTGCTGTACTCACGTCCTGAGTTTATTGCGTATTATTCGTTTCAAAATGTATCGGTGCTTTGGACCTTGAACTTGCATGCTTCTTTCGTGACCTTGACATTTGATTCACTCGCAGGCTTCAATGGAAATAATGCGTACCGATGAACTAAATCGCTTGAATTTCATGGTTCTATGGTATTTTGGATAACAAAAACTATTGAGAATTGTGTGTTTCGGAATTTTATAAAACATGATATTATAAACGGGACATATCGATGTAAGGCCCCACTCAAACGACTAATCTAGGCAGTAAACAACTTTGAAACTAATCCACCAAATAGCCAATGTTCCGATGCCTAGATTTGTCTTTGTTGTTGTTTTTGTTTGTCTGTTAATTATTTAAAAATAGTATAATTTTTACTTGTATCATATCATAATGTATAAAAAAAGTAACAAGGGGTTTTGTTTATTGGGGTTTTGGGTGTTTTGTTTTTTTCTTGTGGTTCTAATTTGTGGTGTCATATAATTGCTTAAATTGCCTTATAATAAATGAACGGATGGACCGTAGCTGTATTCCCCATGTCATGAAAAACAATTGAATGAGAATTGTTTTTATAAATGATGCTATGTTACAATTATGTGAACCGGACTTAAAATCGTTTTGTGTAACTCATCTATCTTAAGTTAGGATGGAATTTTAGTTAAGACGATTTTAAGGAGATTAAAGTTTTGTGAAACAGAGCCCATGCCTAAAGAAAGACCTGTAATAGGCAGATTTAGCTCTTGCATAATGTATGTTTAACTATTTAAAAAATAATGGAAGAAAGAGTGGGCTTTACATTAATTGGCTACGGACTATAAGTGGTGATTCTCCATCAAATCGTTTGTTTATATTTGTTTATCTGTTTATATTTGTTTATCTGTTTATCACACATGCGTTGGCATGCTATTAAAACATCAGCCATTTTTAAACAAGTGTACACCTGCTTTCACGGACATACACATCCTTGAACACATACTGCGTTACTTTATTATATCCGGCCAATTTGTTTTCCAATTGTATCTATATTCTACTTACAAATGAAAGGGTCTTTAGTTTATCATATTTTACCATAATCCAACCAAATATTATACCAACTAAATAAGCAGCAATTCGTGTCCAGGGTACAGTGTAAACATTTTGCCAATAATCAGGAATTCGATTCATTCTACAATTTAAATATAAATATTTATATAAATATACATAATATACAGTCAGTTCAAGACGTTTAAAATTATAGGCCCAAAATAAACACCATGAGTGGCACCAACGACGTCTTTAAAAAAATAAGAGCAGTTTTATGTGTTTCAGTTTACATTCGTTGGTAACCCCTACAATCTGCGTAGGTCGACGACAAACCGGCGCTCTACTGATTTGGCCACGGGCACGTTATTCGGGATTCGACAATAAAACAGACCGGTCTACCTTGCATCCGACTATAATCCTCGCTACGTCCGACCGCATTGGTAAGTGAACGTGGGGTGGCCAACAAGCAAGGAGACGTCCGTTTGTCAAACGAGTTGACTGGTTCGATGTATAAAAGACCAGTCGCTAGTGTAGTTCGTGCATACGATGTTGATGCAGTTTCTGTGGGGATACCGGTGAACGAGTGCTATTTTCAGTGTCGGCACCCCCGATTTACAAGGATTACATCTGATACTAGTTGCACCCCCCCCACCAAATATTATCTTTTTTTATTTTGTTTGTTTCTTTTTTCTGTACAACGAACCCTCGACGCCTTAATTAAAATGCCAATTGAATAATCAAACTTACGTGAACATGTCTCCTCCGGTAACATATTCTTCATAGAAAGCTGAAGCTACACCAGCTGCACCTACTAATACTGCTAAAGTAATACCAACAGGTGCGTACCTACAACATATTATGACAATAATTAAAGATACATTATGGGAGATTTTAATAAAGAATTAGCCATTCTTGCTATAACGGTTCAAAAGTAAATGATAAAAGAAGAATATATTGAAAATTTCAGTCAAATTACTTTATTCTGACCAAAGTTATCACCATTGTAATTTTTGACTAGAAATAGGAGTCAAATCCCTCTTCACCGTCTATGAGAAGGCAGGCCGTTTGATTGACGGGTGTTAACTCCACCTACATAATCTCGATTATCAAGTAACGTTTTCAATTCGTATCACATTTATTTTTACTACAAATTAAAAATAGGACTTTTATTATATAGATAAGAAGCGAAAGTTTTAAAGGAATGGACCAAATCAATGAGGCATAATTATAGCCGACTTCTTCAATCATGTTAGCCTGCGTGTTCGCCCGATGCAGACAAATTGAAATAGGAAACATTGATCCAATGGCATTGGGGCTGCATGGGCTGCAATTCAACTGGGGTGATGTTAGCTGCGATGTTTATCAATTTCCATAATTTTTCTGTAAACGCAAGTGACAAAAGAGCGTATAATACCGACATCTAAACTCTCATTTTAACCACAAATAAACATAGTATCAAGGCCGTATATATCGAACTTTCAATCAAATTGACCGACATATGCGGCCTCGCTTAACAGCGGCCTCGCTTCGTACATTCTATCATTCAGCCTCGATCTAAAATTTCCCGGAGTATGACGTCAACGTAACGGTTAATCTCAGCTTACGACGCCATTTAAAAATTTAATCAATCAATGAAATCCTCTTTAAATCCAAGCGAATCCAAGCCATCCGTGGGTCTACAGAGTTGATTTTGTGCTTGTTGTGTAAATAAAGGTCTAATTTATAATTTCTATGACATCTGAAGCCTAAATAAAGACTTGCAATAATCAGATTTAGCTCTTGCATAATGTATGTTTAAGTAGTTAACTACAATAACGAGCGTCAACTTTCAATACTACTGAATCAACATGTACACACTTCTAATATTATACAACGCCCGTTGTTCAAAATACATACCAGCAGTCAAACTAGAGCCAGCGTTAACTAAATGGGGTTAATGATATTATTCTCAGTATCAGGTCTGGGGTGGGGGCCGCAAAGTGGGACAATGTGGGTCCCCACATTTTGTGTTGAATACGAGATCAAAAATTAAATCGGATTACCGAGACAATCTTATTTGGATTTGTAAAGATGCATTTCACCCTCGACGAACGCTTCTGAATTGATACGATTGACTGGGGTTTGTAACTTGGTCTACTCTAGGCTATAAGTTTATTAGTGATTGCTGGAATTTGAGACTTGTGATCTGATTCAAAAAAACATTCAATATTTATTTTTTAACTCGTGTTACTTACCCAGAATATACCCCACATTACAACACTTTTCCTTAATTTTACCCCACGCAAATTACTTTCACGTAACACGTACCAATCCGACTGAGATTGGTTTCAAACAAAATGAAGATATTCTCATCTCATTTCTTAATGAGTAAACTAATACTCTCTAATGTAACGACTAGGTTTCAAACAACATTAAGATATTTTGATCTCATTTCTGAAATACTCTGTAACGGTCATTCAGAGATTAAAGATTATCACAACAAAACAAAAATAATATATCGAACTACAAAATGTCGTTAAGATATAATGTTTATGATGAAAATAATGTAGAAACCAAACAACAATAATGATAATCTAATTAAATTTATAGTGGGTCTAAACTGCAACTGCACTTCGGTTAAAATAATAAATAAAAAAAAAAGATAATACGAAGATTTATACTAAAAATAAACAATGGTGGAATATTAAAAAGCTATTAAAGCAGCGTGATAAATCAGTTGTAGGCAGATATAAAGTATGTTCAGTATGAAAACAGGAAATCAAATATATACGTAACATATGCTTTTTCGCTCGAGTCACACGCAAAAGGAACCGAGCCAAAGCAGGCACCGAGTCCAATGGCGATACTGGTCGTGTGATAATCGAATCACTAACGCCAACACTAGAATATCATTGGTCTACAGCCTGTATGATATTAAACATAACTCTATTATTGACCTATTTTCAACTTACCAAAATATTGTAAATATAAATATAGGTGAGAGAATATAAAACTGCATATCATTAGCCAAATACCAGGACCAACCCAAACACTGGAAACAAAATAATAAAATAGATTTGACGCACGTTTATAGATTACGCCAATAGTTATTGGTATCCAAAGTAAAATGTGTTGTATGCCACTGTCTAGAATACCATTCGGGCCCGAGTCAGCTCATAAAATTTGGTGGGGCTACGGAATATTGTTGACGAAATATTTGGGGGGGGGGGAGGGCTAATTCGGTTATTTTTTTTTTTAGGGGGGGCCCCCCCCCCCCACCGTGGCTACGGGCCCGATACCACACGAATTAAAAGATGATGATGGTGTATCTTTTATAAACCGTTTGTTGACTCCGTGAAATTATGTTGTCCTAGATCATGATTTGCGAATTTGGATTCCACAACAGTAAATGTATTGGTTCTTGCCAGATTGAGTTCTTTCTTTTTTACATACAAAAACAATATTATGCTCGACCCTTCCTGAGAACTATGTCAATCGGGAGACTGTTATTATACTATAGGCATTAGACATTAAATTCCAGTCATAACAATTGTCACAATTATAGTCCAATATTCCGACTTCATTACCCCGGTTGGGTCAGAAAAGAACGACATTAAACCCAATTTCATGCCAGTCCAGTGAATGTCTATCTGCGGACAGGACGATCTCATAATCGTTACCCCAAATTTTCCAAATAGCTAAACAAAACCCACACCTTGTCCAGAGGTGAGTTAGACAGTTCATGTGAGTGGTGTTACATTGTGATTAAAATGACTTTACCTGTTCATGGTTATTAACAAGGTTATTAACGTATAATACATTAGTCCACCAATTAGTTTTACAATAATCTGCTGCTTTGATAGCTGCTGGCCACAGTGGACCATCGCCCATATACTTATATAGACAGGAGAACGTCATCAATACGATCATATATAATGGTGTCAATCTGAAATGAATTGTACAAGTAAACTGAAGATATGATATAGATTTGATAATATGCTTATTTTGTCTTTTTGTAACAATGTGGTAACAATGTGTATAGGCAGTGGCATGCACATGTTCTCTGAAATGGATGACAGGAGCCTCCAGCCCCTCTGACCCTCCCTACACGCCACAGTGTATAACAGTTAAAATGTAGAAATAATATTTTAGAAATATGTATGGTGGTCCATTTAGATCGTCGTGTTTCTAGACACAACTCGAGAGTCGCCGTTAAGCCAGCACGACGAAAAAGGTGAGGATCGGCGACTTTTTCGTCGTGCTGGCTTAACGGCGACCCGCGACTTACACAACACGAGAGCCGCCGTTAAGCCAGCACGACGAATAGGTCGTCGAAAAAGTCGCCGATCACTTTACGATATCGTCGCCTCTTTTTCGTCGTTTTCGTTGCTCTGGCTTAAAGGCGGCTCTCGTGTCGCCGTTAGACTGGAAAGTCTATGTTCTGTTACACGGAAAATTTGTCACCATGTAGTACTCTGTTTTAAAGTCGTAAAAGATCAGGGCCTGTTATTTTGCTAACGTGTCTTTTGTTAACGGTCCAAAAAATTTCTGTTACTGGAGAGTCAATTTCATTATCCGTTAGTTAACGGATTGAATTAATCAAAGAGAAGACTGTTTGGCCATTGGCTGAATTTTAAATTTTTAAATTCAATGTACACGTGTAACAACTTCATCTATAGAATCCTATAGTATTTTCCTATAGAAATTTTAGCAAAAATCTATAGGAAAAATGATAGGATTTGCGCTACAGAAACTGTAGAATATTTGGGGACGTTATTTCCTACAGGGCCCCCAAATTATGTAGAATACTATAGAATTTCATCCTATAGAAAATGTGATACGCCCCACCCCCCTACCCAACACACACAATCCTCTAGAATGTTCTATATAAGTCTATAGAAGACTAGAGCATGGTAATCTATAGGAATTTTTGCTGACAGCCGACTAATGCCATCGTTAAATAGATAACAGAACCCAACACCTTAAGTTAATGATATGTTAGGGTTAACGGGGCTTCCAGCAACATACTTTCTCTCCGTTAAAGTTAATGATCTGTTAGCTCCATGTTAACGAGTCATTATAAGTTAACGTAGCTTTGAACAACCGGTCCCAAATCGTTTAAATATATCTCAAAAGTCAAACATAAGTATTATCTTAATCTAAAGTCTAATATCATTAGGTAATTAAGCATATTTGAGTAAAGATAAACTTTCATCAAGAAAAATCTGGCTTATGTGTAAACTATGACAGAATTATTTTTAATTTATTTCTCAAAGACAGGTAAAGATGGCGTTGTGTATCCAATGTAAACTTTAAATGACCTTACGTCGAATAGATGTTTGACAAAACTTTTTAATAAATGTTTTGTTGGTAGTGTATAGTCTCGAACTCTATTTTAAAACTTATGTTGTGACTTTAATTAAAATCCAAAGATAGAAAAATGCCATGCCTACCTCCAAAATCTATGGAAATAATACATAAACATGTAGCCACCTGTAATCTTCCGTTTTCGTAGATCTTTTAACGTCAGGTATGCCACTAAAAACCCACTGAAAGACGAAATTAAATTAAACAGTCTTATTTTATTGGGATTAAGATACATCGTTAACATTGGATATTATATTATATTCCAGAAAGGAGGAACAATAAGTACAGTATGCCATCTTTAACATAATTTAGGTTTCGGTTTTAAAGACCTTTCAAGATCTTTTCAATCTCTTGTTCTCTTGTTTCATATGTTTCGAGCTATGATCTAAAGTATCACTTTATTCGTTACAAAGACGTGTTTCTTGCGGAGACACACATAGGCTGCCGGAACTGTTTTTTTGTGGCAGAAATGTGCAAACTAAGCTTTCTTGGTTTTAAATGATAGATTACAGCCAGTAGTATTACAGAAAAAAACCGCCCCATCAATTGGCCAAAGGGAACATTTTTTTTAAAGGCCTCGAAGTTCTCCGACAGTCGAATTGGATGGGTACCAGCCAAATCACGAATTTGCCTGGTTTCCAAAAAAGTTTCAAACAATTTTTTCAATGTAAATACCTCTAATAGTTCATATATCATTCATAACTCTTATAAAACAAAAGAATTTCACATCATTTATTTGGCCCTATGGATTTTTTCACAAGTTTTCATGGATTTACCTGGTATCCAACACATATTTCAGAACGTTTTTGTTGAGACCAGAAAAAGATTAAATATATAAGTATTATACACAGCATAACAACTGCAACGATTATTAGCCTACCATTATCAGAAGCATATTCCTTATGCATTGCTTCTATCCAATATTGGTGGTTCTATGACGTATTTTCTTAGGCATGACATCATCAACACACATACGGGACAAAATACGCTTATTAGTCCAGGCAAAATAGTATAAATGCGAGCAATAGAAATGTCGACCACGTTATCTTTCCGTCATTTTCGGAATGGCGGTGGACAGTTCATTATCCAATGTTTCACTGCCTATCGGGATGTTTCTGTGTTTCATCATTTGAAGAGTCTAAATGAAATTTAGTTGATGCTTGATAAATGCCATTATATTGGATCTGAGGCAGACTCGCCTACTCTTAATCTCTAAATCTCCAATGGGATTTCCACATATTTTGACACAGGGGAACCAGTTAATTACCAAGATGAGAAAATGTGCCGAAAATGGAATCAGCTGCCTCCAAAACGTATACTTTGACACCAAATGTGGCCATTTTGTAAAATTCGAATTTTTACGCCAAAACTGACCACCATCTGGAATTATTTCCCAATGTTAACTCCGCGATAACACTTATCACAAAAGTATGTATGGAAATGGATTCAGTTACCCCGAAAACATATATTTTGATACCAAACTCGATCATATTATAATAATTGGATAAAAATTGGCATTTTCCAGTCAAAACTAGCGGCCATTTTGGATTTTTGCCAATTTGACCCATTTGGGCACGGAATTCGGACTGGGACTTTTTTTTGGTGCTATTATACGTCTAGACAAACCATAAACCGTGGTCGGCATTTCTATTGCAGCAACTGCCCGGAATGGTGGGAAATTGAGTTAAAATGCCTTGACAATATCTGTGTACTTACGTCTACAGTCATGATGGAAAACTTCGAGACCCCTAAAAAACTTTCCCTTGGGCCAATTGATGGGCCGTTTTTTTTCTGTAACACTACTGGGTGTAATCTATCATTTAAAACCAGAAAGCTCAGTTTGCACATTTCTGCCACAAACATGAGGTGTAGGCCTAATTCTGGCAGACTGACAATTAATAAATACACACTAGTTATATATGCTCCAGTCTTGGACCTGTCGTCGTTTTTCTGCGATGTAAGGACAGCAGTCACACAATAAGACCCGACCTCACCTTGTAGCAGACTGTGGGGAACGAGGGTCGCAAGACCTTGAGAGATTTGTCGTATGATCATCCAAGATTACCTACAATTGTCAAGGATCAGTTGCACAAAATAATAGTCACGATTGATCTTGGGACGAGTCGTAACTATAAACCATGAATTTGAAATGACGTGAATATTTACTATGTGTGAGAATATATGTACCTCCTAGTGTGGGTATTTGACAGTCATGGTTAATCATGCCACCGTTTGTCAACCTGGGGAAGCCATTGATCAACCACCCAAGACATATTACTCGTCAATCGCACGACCTACTTGAGATCTTCTATGGCCAGTTTGGTAGTAGTCCTCTATGACAGAGCTCGGCTGTACGAACACCCATGACCATCCAGAACCACCATGGCATGGCTATTCGACGAGTCGTAACCTATTGTTAGTTGTCACAATCAATTTATTGCTATTACATTTTGATACTTTTCATCTTTATCTTATAAATGAACTATACCTTAATAAGAAGAAAGTATCAACAGCAAATCCGGCTGCCATGATACCCTGGAAGCTGAACCTTTTAAACAGACCATCGGCGTCAATTAAGTTTTCTATATACAAGGAAAATAAAATCGAAACAGGAAAATGGCTTGGTTATTGTTCAAAATATTAAATTAAATATTTTCTTCTCCTTTTTATGTCTGCGCTTCGGTAAACAGCTGCGTAGCATTTGGAACAGTCTCAACCTACCAGTGACTAAAATTGTTATCATCCAAAACATACTGTTGACATTAAATTTGGAATTAAACCGGGTTGATGAAGCTGTGATTGACATAACACGATTGAAAACATATGAACCTATAATACAAACTAAGTTTTAGATCCCTTGAACGATTTACAAATTTACCAATATAGATTGATTTTTATATCGGGGATCACAATAATGGGCAACGTTTGGCGGGGAGTGTACCTGTAAAAGCGATTTGTATTATAAGTACATTTTTTTCTGGCAATATTTCTTTTTTTTTTTCAAGCACTATTAATGTTTTTAATGGTACAATAATATTGTGATATATATTTACGTGTAGTTTGACTGTCACTTTGTGAAACAACTCCATAATTATAGGTGTGGCCCAGTATAATCCATAACATGCTGACAAATCGTATACCATGTACACAGTTGATGGCTCCTTTAGATTTCTTTCCATTTAGAATCTTTGGCATGTTAGTTATTAATGAAAATGCCTTTATAATCGGGTGTACCTCTGTAAATATAACAGAAACGATTTTGTTTTTGGGGATGGGTTTCTTTTGAAAATGTTAGTATTTCAAAATATTCTATTAAATAGTAAAATCAAATTGCATATTTTGAAATTAACTTTAGATAACTTTCTTTGTACAGTAAATTATTGACTTATCCAAGCTTGCAAATACATAGAGACATGGTCTAATTTGTGTGTGACCGATGAACAAGGGTGCCAAGAATGAAAAAATATTTTTCAATGCTTACTTCTAACTGCTTCTTTGTCCGCGACGTTTTCCACCTTGACACCGGTGTCATTTACCTTGGCTTCTAGTTCTGTGTTTGAAATTTCAGGCGAGACGTTTGGATTGTGACTTAACGATTTACCATCACCGTTACTCAATTTTTCATAAGGGTGCTCCGCGGGTGCTAGTACATTAAGTGTACATGAATCTGTCTTCGATGACGAACTCGCCTCTATGTCGCTTTTAGACTTATCTATTTTTTCGTAGCCATTTGTTTCTGATAGCGTTGTATACAATCCTGTAGACATAGAAGCTGTTTGTTTCAATTCCAATGCATCTGGTGCATAGCCATTTTTAATGATGTGTTTTTCATCAGACACAAACCCATTATTAATTCGGCCAAAGTAGTTTTGTTCTTCACGTTTGGAAACTGGAAGAGCGCCCATCATACCTTCACTAAAAGTGGCCAGTGCAACCAAAATTCCAAACACGCACAAAATGCATCTGAAAGGCATAATAATGAAATAGATTCTTTTAATCGATTAAATTAAGATACTCATGTCAGATGTCATTTTGAACTCGATGTTAATGGATAGAAATCATTTATCTTGATTAGTCAACAGGTCAAAGTTAGACCAATAAAAGGTAGTGGCGTGAAATCAATGCATTGTAATGTGAGCTTCACGTGATTCAACAAAAATGCTAAAATCATTTCATTAGAAAAAAAATCATATCGATGGTAAGTACTGATTTTAACTTACATAGCAACAATGGCTGACGTATCTTTTTTAAGATCTGGGTTTTGCAGGCAAGCAACTCTGTTTACAGGAAGCTTTACAGGCCCTAAAGGTTTAAGAATACAGACTTAATGTCACCTTTGGTTCTTTTCTGTTCCTATATTTTTTTAATGAGACTAACAACTCAAACCTTTAGAATTTTTATTGGGCTAATGTTTATTTTCTCTATTTTTTTTTTTTTTTAAAAAAAAAAACACCCTATAAGCTCAAAATTAACTTCCAACCAAAACTTGAAATAAAACATATTATATTATGATACTTACCCATTGAAAAGAGCCTAGCAATGTCTTCACTGTGACAGGAAGCGGGAACACAAACTCCCCAGTTTAACTTTAGTACTAAACCTCTTGTATCCTGCAAACATATACATATCGTCGGTATCATGGAACTCGATTTTCCATTTATTTTGAGAAATTAACTGGTATTCGTTATTTCAAATACAGATTTCCCCTCAAACAACGTTTTGCTTATTTAGTTGAAACTATTGAATATTTGTTAAATCCCTTTCGCATGACACCGCCATTATGCAATGCATGTAATTAATTTACGACTGAATAAGAATGTTCATGATTATTTTTCGAAAGTGCCACACCAAAATACTTTTTATTTTACTTGTCGTTGAAAAATGCAAGATCCTTTTTAAAGGAGAAGTCCAGTCGGTGTTGATTCTTGTATAGTTCATGCATTATCTAGCATTGCAATAATTGCAACGATGCTTAACCCGGAGCACAGATCGTTAGTAGGCCTATTTGTTTAACCTTCATCTCAACTGTAAACAAACAAGACGCCATTCTTAGCGTATTCAACAACTGGTCACAGCGTACGGAACGCAACTATTATAACACGACCACTTGCTTTTGTTTATAAACAGTTACTGGGCTCTGTTTCTCGAAATCTTAACTAAAGATAAAATCCAAATTTTAGTAGATACTTCAATTTTGATTGGCTAAGCACTAAAACCAATCATATATTATCCAATCAAATTACTAAAATGTGGATTTTATCTTAGTTAAATTTTTTCGTGAAACAGGCCCTAGGTCGTTAGCCTAATGACGCCACAGTCGGTATCGTGGTTTGATAACTAAAGGGCAAATCTTTTTCACTATACATGTAAGAAATTGTATAAGAGAAAACCTCTGCCGATTGACGCCACAATGTTACCTTAATAAACTAATGTAGAGATTATAAAAATACTTACGACGTTCATACTTTGGACAAAACTGTCTGATACGTTGAATTCAGCTCGACAAAATTTAGTGGTATAACGCCTTTCCTCCTTCCTAAACACGTTACCTAGGTAGATATTAGCGGGGATGTGAGCTTTAATACTATTACATTGGTCGTAAGATCCTATATAATACAAAGCACCTTTAGTTATACCACCTGATGGTTTTCCTATAGCGTCAAACACTGAAAAGGAAATAATATATTCTGTTTTAGAGATATGTTGGAATTATAATAGGCGCTAATTGAAGAAAACGCAATGGCGCGATTTGGGTCATGGCTTATCGCGCCCCTCCCCTCAAATTTGAAAAAAAAAACCTTGGTTCCAGTGCGGTTTCCATGGCTTAGATATACTACAAATCTCCTCCAGCATGTTTAACACAGGCCAACAAAAATATTGGGTTTCTGTGTCCCCGTGGGATCTTCTTACTAATGGGAAATCAGTGGTCACCGCGCCGCTGGTTGGAATGATGAGTTTCCGATGGATACGAAGATTCATTGTTCCGCCAGTCCGAAATTTCAGGAATAAACACAATATTCATAGAAATAATGCGCTCTTATATACCAACAATTCCATGTACTTTCATAGCATTAAATCGTTATGGCATTCAGCTCTTGGGGCCGTGATGCCTTAGCACTACTAGTTTGTAAGCTGAGAAGTGGAACAAGTCATTCAGTCGTAATTTATACAACGAGTTGCACCGATTGAGATACGCATTTATGTCGACCTTCTGTCCATTGCATTAATATCTTGATGTACATTATATAAACGTTTTATCGTATCTGTGTATTAAAAAACCCCACGAAACATGACAAGCTTAATTATTATAATATAAGACGCAATAAAAATTACCGTTTGGGTATATGCGTCAAATTAAAAAAAAGCCCGCTTCCGTAGGTCAGTGGGTCAACTCGTATCAGGGGCTTTAGAGATTTTTGGAATTAAACTATCTTTCTTTTGTGTTAAAGATAGCAGTGTCAAATTTGTACGAATTATTTCTTCTCGCATATTGACGTTGCTACGTGATATATATATATATATGTCAACCTGTAGATTATTAAAGGGACATGTTAATTTATCTCTCACTTTAAACAATTATAAAAGTGGTACATTTTTTGGTGTGTGTTAATGTTATTTCAAAAATAATAATGTCGGGCGCCATGCTGTAAAGAGAAATCCTCACTTATGACTTCATTTGTGGGTGATTCTCCAAAGTTTTCTGCGATATTCAGTACACATGAAAATACAAAAGATCGCCGGCGAAAACGCCGTACATATTATAGCCATTTAGCCAATCATATTATCTGACATTCCACTGACAGTTGAATCGAAACTGCAAGAAGGTCGACCATAAAGGCCTCAGCAGACAGTTGAATTGGAACTGCATGACGGTCGATCACATAGTTTTCAGAGTTGCTGTGTTGTTATTGTTGTTGTAGGCGCTCCGTTTTGGATGTCGTCTATTGTAGATTATAAAATAGGGCTTATATGTTCTTAAAAAGAAGAAATTTTAACATAAAATGGTAGCTGATAATCGATTATGTACACGAGCACCTGGAAAGGTTTCTGGCGAAGTATGTTTAACGTTCTTCAGTTATTTGATAACAGCAAGATTTGTGCATTAAGCTCTGATAATTGAATTGTTGGCAACAACAAACGATATCTTATCTTATGTGTGCTAGTTTGAAAGTCCACAAGGAATACATGTCTCGGGACACGAAGAACGCATTTGCTATAAATACTATTCGTATCTCTAAGAAATAATGTCGGTCACCCCCTAACCTGCCTTTAATGTTTACCCAATAGCAAACTGACATAAACATTGTTCAAATCCCTTATGTTGTCTTGGGAAGGGGTAATCGCCATACTCGCTTACGTAAAATCTACAATCTACTCAGATCATTTAAATATTAAAATGTAATAAACAAAACAACAACAATGGATTAAAGTACTAGGGAATAAAATCAACTTTTTAAGAATGGCGTACGTTCAAGAAAGATCCAGGCATACTAAGACAATTCTCAAAAGGGTTCCGTGTAATTTGCCCGAACAATCAGCTCTTGTTTACTCGAACAAACCTTGTGGAGAGCGCTGAAGAATTCCGTAGGGAAAATCCTAGACAAGAGCACAGAAGACAGGTATCAGCTTGCCAATATGGGTCAATTTCTGCACATATAGTTTTGGAGCGTAACAGTACAGCAACGTTTCCTTCAAGATAACAATCGGGGAAATAGTTCCTAGTTGAAATCCTAATGATGTAAGGAGTTCAATGCAGGCGATCTTGTTGATAAGCTTCTTTATTTTTCTGTTTTATAGGTAATTTTATGTTAAATTTTTAAAAAGAAATCGTAAACTCGGACCACAATTTTAATCTCTACATTATGTCCGCTACCAGAAATGCCTGCTACAGGGTACCGCAATTATAGTCTTTTTATTCAGGGTGTGTGGGTGTTAGGATGGGGGTGGGGTGACACGGACATTAGAATGCGACTAATGCAACAATGAGACGATAAGCTGGGTGATTCTATATCTATTTACGCGCCCGTCGCCAGAAAAGTCAGGTCTGAGTGTGGGGCTCGAGGTACATCAGCTTTTTTTCTTTGTTGGTGTTGTTTCTGTTATTTAATATGTAGCAAGATGGGCTATCTCATTAAGGATTAAGCCGAAATCAAATATAGTCTATTCACGACACTCAAATTAATCTAGAATTTCAACTTACTCTGTATAGCCCACATAAAAGATGTAAAATTCAGTTCTTCTGGACCAGATATACCATATCGTCCACCAACCAAACTGTCCATAAAATCCATAGTATCATCATAACACTGAGTATTTGGCATTAAAGTTTTGTCGTAAGGGAAATAATCACGGGCACTCTTTATAGCCAGAATTCTTCGAATCATCCGGATATAATTTAATCCATGTTCATAAGAATAGAGAAGATAATTTGTAACATTGGTGTTATTTGGTGCCCAGTGGTTAGCCATAGCCAGTTTTTGTACATTCGAGGTGTCAACGCGGCCAATTTCATCTAAAATAATGCCCAAACTTGCTTTGAAATCGGGGTTTCTCAACAAATAAGGAAGTCGGCTCAAAACGAGATCGGCTAAAACCGGCCCCATAGTGCTGTTACTTGGCGGGAGACCACTCCTCAAATCTCCAAGGGCATAAAATATCTCCTCTAATTGACGAAAAATATGTTCGTGTGTAAATAGAGCATCGGCAACAAACAAGGCCTTTTCTTCCCGGGTGTAGCTGGTTTTAGTATTACTATTATTGTAATTTGCTCCTCGATCACTATCAACAGAATTCACCCAACATAGTCCACATGACATAAAGAAAACAATTAGCGACCACCTATCCATCTTTTCTGATTTTCTTTTTTTTTGTATCCTATGTCTTTCTCTTTTTGTTTCTCGATAATATAAATAGTCCCTTTTGTTCTGTTTTCAAATCCAATTTTACTTCACAAAGTTAAATTTGAAATTCGAAACGAATTCGCTTTCACAGTGTAGGCTATTTGTATTCCATGTTAACCTACACCATAATAGTGTTACGATTTCGGTATAAAACTGGTTTGTAATGTTGAAATTGTTGGAAATTTTTCTTAAATACTTTGCTGCCATGTGACGGGGGAGATAAGAAACGGTGGTACACACCTGGTGGACTTTGTTCACAACGACAAAACATTCCCTTGTCACCAATACAAAACTAAAAACAGTATCTATAATCACCTGATTTTTAGTAGCGAATTAGCCATGACACACAAGGCACACATGTTCATTATATAGATGTCTGAGTAAAACATTAATTTAACTAAGATATATTCAATTAAATTTATCTATATTTTAACTGTTATTTTTATTGTATTTATTTTATGTCTTACTTTGAATATTTTTGTTTGCTTTTGTATGATATTATCTCGCTTGAAACGAATTTTAATGAACTCTGCGTTCCACAAATTACCTTATCGATGTCTTTGTGGATTTGTTTTGACTTTTTCATATAATCTCAAAAACCATGTTTTTCACAAACATACAAAGCGCCAATGCCACTGTAACGTTCTAAACGGGATCAGTGGGGAGCCCCCCTCCCCCAACCCCGGCCCCCATCCCCCGCATCGCCCCCATTTTTGCTTGGAATGACCCAAGACGTGTTTAATAGTCTAACACAGAGAGAGAGCTGTCATCACTGATGTGTAGGTGATTTGGGGCCGCCGTAGTCGAGAGCTCCGGGGCAAGTTATTTCGGGAGTTTTTGCACTGAAAAGGTGATTGTTAACCGTATGTCACTATCAAAAAGATCGAATTATAGTGTTGGCAAAACAACATCCCTTTACCTTGGAATATATGTCTTTTAAAACAATTGTCCTAGCCACTACTTGTAACACGTTTTGTAGAATATATGAAAATTCTAATCCATGATTATTGAATAGCCTGATTTCACTGGATGACATAATTTGCTTTATTATCTGATTTATCATAAAGTAATTTATTTAGATTCTTACTTAGACTTTGTACCCGCTACTTTATTTAAATTTACATGATGTCATACAGTGATGTGCGATTTACCACGCAACGCAAGTGTTTAAATGTTTTGGTTGATTGTTTAGAAAAAAGGATTATCGCTTATTAGAGATATGCAAAATATTTGACTGAATATTCAAACTGATCTGTCATTTTTGCAGTTAAAATACACTTACATAGTACGATTTCTTCAACATACCTGTTTGGCAATTCTTGTGTGGGGTATTATATTAATATATTATATATTGTACAATTACATAACTTAATAATTCCGATTAGTCGCTAGAACTTATGGTTTTTAACGTTATTTTATCTGGATTATCGCCCTTATTATTGTGATTTTTTTTATCACCTTCTAAGATATGACGTCATTTTCAGTCAGTAGACGGCTGTCCCTCGAGACAGTCTACATTTCCTACTTGCTTCTTTGTATTCAGTTTTGTTTTTGTTTTCTGTGACGATGGAACATGTACCCTATATGTATTGAATACTGAAGCGTTTCTTTATTGAATTTAAGAGTTTAGACTACTTTTTTTTTATACATTTCACCGATGTGGTTACTTGTATAGTTGAATTTTACTACATATGCTTACATACGTATTTCGTGTAGCATATAGCAGATTACACAATGGGTTCTTTGGGTTGTATTCCTAATTGTTTTCAAATTTGAGTGAAGTCTGTGTCACTACAGACCCGGGACTGTACAGCGCAGTGGACGCTTACGGCTAGCCCCCGGATCCATTCTTTTTTTGAATTGTCTGTATGTTCGTGTTTTTCCTGAGTATATGATGTCCTGTCCGTGTATTTGTTTTTGTGTAAATTTTGTGTGGTGCAGTCCCCCTGCACTTACTATTAGTAAACCATCAGAAATCTAGAAAATCGATTGTGAACACTCATTAGTAAAAACTCATTTGCAAATGAGGTTAAATAAACTAATTTCCACAAGTTTATTGTAAGTTCATTAAACGGACTATAATTATAATATGGACGTCTACCCTTGTGCTATATTGAGCAGACCGTTTGTTCTATAAAGGGAGCACTCGTAATTGACCTGAGGTTTTGGGAAAAATTTAGTTGAAAAAGGCATGAACGTGATTTTGTTTCTTTAAATATTATAACCAAGGATTTCAAAGCAATGCTTGTATAATATATTTCCATGATTTT